ATCTTTGGAGATAAGGTCTATTAGCCATGGTCATAGAGGGATAGTTAAAAGTCAGACCAGTCAGGAGAACAAAGACGCCTTACCTGACCCCAACCGCAGCCAAGGGACAGTTATGAGACAAGCTATTCGAGTCAGATCTGTCCTCATTTCCCTCGTCACGTGCCAATTAAATCTCTTAAAGATAATACAGAGATGCTTTTTAATCAATTCAGTCTGTTTTTACAGTCGGACAGCCTGTTACCATATAGGCTTCGTAAAGGTGTTCCACACTCTTAAAATATCAGTAGAACACCCCCAGACAAATTACTCATTAATGTCGCTCTCACACAGAAGCTGCTGGAATGACGCACATTCACACTGAGGCAGCCGCGAAGGCTTCAAGTGGGATTGCTTATTTTATTTGTTGCAATTCTGTGGCAGTTTGCCCAGATATTCTTAACAGGGGACTCTAGTCTTTGCTAGAGCTAAAAGCACCTGGGTGGATTTGATTATTTCACAGAGATGCTGAGTAACCACAAAGACAGCGGGGTATGGGTGGGCGTGAGAAGGGTGTAAGGCCTGGGGACCATCACGCTGCTGTGGAAGTTACTGCGCCCTGGGTGTGAGCTGATGTCCCACAGCTGACGCCCCAAACACCCCAGGGACCAGGTCAGGTGGCTGATTGTGGGCCCCAGAGCTGCGGCTGCAAGCACCTGTCAGGAGCTTCTGCTCTTGGTCACATTAGGTACACAGCAGAGCTGCACCCAATGCGTCTCGCAAATTTAAAGCATGCTTTGGGAAATGGTTTCTTAAAGCCTTGGAATATTTGAAAAAAAATGCTCAAGCTAATGTTTCGCCCACAAACATTTGCTGGTGTAAAAATCTTCAGAATAAGAATAACCGACATCCATTTCTGTGTGTGGATGTCAGGCTGTTTTGCCTGTGTTTTCTCATTTATTCTCGTGTGTGTGTGTGCAGTGCTGGGGTGAAACTCGGGCCCTGTGTGTGTGAGGCTAGTGCCACCCCTGAGCTACACCGTTGCCCCTCATTTATTCTTTCAGCAATCCTGGAAGGTACATGGCATCATTAGGAATATCTTGCAGATGAGATGAAACAAGAAACAAAAGCTAGGAAAGGTTAAGTTGCCCACACTCACATTTCAGTGACTGAGCTCCCGACCCAACTCTGACCATCTACCCTGTGCTCTTATTTACTATGCTGAAAAGGCCACTTGTTAACACTTTCCAGCTGTGTCATAAAAGCCACACAATGTGGACTGCCCAGGGATAACAGCCGACAACAACAAAATGCATGATATAATAATAATATTAATAATTATTATGTGCAGTATTGGATACTGAACTCAGGGCCTTTTTACTGAGCTACCTCACCAGCATTTTTTAAAAAAAATACTGAGACAGAGTTTTGATAGATTGCCAAATGGCCCTGATAGACTCAAAATTGTGATCCTCCTGCCTCAGCCTCTCAGTGCTGGGATTACAGGCATGTCCCACCATACACCTCTGGGATAATATTTTTAAAGTTCACTTATTTATTTTCTTATTTGTTTGGGTGCTAAGGATTGAACCCAATATATGTATTTAGTGCCAGTTTTAATTAATTTATTTTTTGGTGCTAGGGATTGAACCCAGGGCTCCATACCTGCTAAACACTCTACCACTGACCTACACCCTTAGCCCTCACATCCTTACTGAGGGATGGAATGGAAAGATAACAATTTAAAAATCACCATTTTTAATTCAGCCCCACCTCTTAAAAACCCCGTGTGTATTTCAGCTGGATGAATAATGGGAACACAAGAGAGAGGGAAGCTGGGAAGTGGGGCGGGGACAGGGAGCCCCGAAGGGCGTGAGCCAGGGAGTAAAGCGGTGAGCACACGTCCCAGTCCCAGGAGGAATCATCCACAGACAGGAACAGAAAGGCCAGGCAGCCCTCAAGTATAAGGAAACGTTTGATGTAGCGTAAAAGCAACATTGCCTAACAGGTGGATTTTCAATGAATCTGAGGAGAGATTTAGAACTTTATACCTCACACTTGTTGCTAAAATTCCAGATAAGTTTTAAAAGGAGAAAAGAAATTCAGAAAAATATAGGATGACATTATATAACTTAAAGGAGGGGATTTGTTGGGAATTGTGTGGTGCAGTCAGAAACTGAAGCTGTATTAGAAAATATTTAAGAACAAGAGAAACTCAGCAACTTCTGTACTTTGGAAAACACGATAAATTAAAACAGAATGAAAATGGGAAATTGAGGGAAATTTTGTACAGTATTCATCATAAGCAAGAAATTACTATTATTGGGAGGGGCTGTAGCTCAGTGACAGTGTTTCCTTAGCATGTGAGAGGCCCCATTAAAATTTATTAGCATTCTTAATAGCCAAACCAATAAAAAGATCCAGGAGTCACCTCTTGTTCTTTTTTAAATATGAGCAAAGACTATCAATAAATTCAACCAAAGAAGAAACTGAAATCACCAATTATCATTTGAAAAAAATGCTTATCCTTCTTAGCAGTGAATGAAATAAAAGTGATGCCAATTTTCACCTATTAGGCTTATACAAAATGAAAAAAATAGGCAGTGTTAGAAGTGTAATCTTTTTTCTTTTTTTGGTACTGGGGATTGAACTCGGGTCCTTGCGCTTGCAAGGCAGGCCACCGAACAGCTGAGCTAAATCCCCAGCCCCAGAAGTGTAATCTTAACACTCAGGAGGCTGAGGCAGGAGGATTGCTGTGAATTTGAGGCCATCCAGGCCTGCACAGTAAACTCAAGTTCAGCCTTGACTACAGAGTGAGAGCTTGTCAAAAAAATGAAAAAAAAAAAAATCCGGGTTGAAGAGGATGGGAGCAAAAGGATATTTTCTTAAAGAGAAGTGCTCGCAGAATACAAATTATGTAAAATTTCTAGGGAAGGGGATAATTTGACAGGAATAATTGGACATCTTGACTTACAATTCTTCTTCTAGAGATCTGTGCAACAGTAATAGCTGGAAATGTTTCTACAAAATCAAAATTTTAAATTGGAAACATCCTGAATGTTTAATTTTTATTTCATAAGACGATAGAAAGCTGTGGAACCACTGAAGGGGCATTGTGTGTATTTTTGTACACATACGAACATTTAATTAGATATTCCTTTGTCCATGTATTCGTTTACTGAGAGCTGAGGGTTGAACCCAGGGCCCTGCACGGGCTGACAGAGTGCTGTACTGCTGAGCTTTGCCTCCAGTCCCAGGTATTAATGCTCGGTGTACAAACGAGCGGAGATGCGTATGTGTGAAGGAAAGTGAGGAAGGGAGAGTACAGAACACTATGCACAGTACAGCCCTACCTTGGGGAGGATAAATCCTAGTTAGCTGTAGTGACACAATGGGTATGTTTATTTTGCTTATTTGTATTTTCTCCAATAAATATGGACTGGTTTTAGAGCAATTAACTTTCAAAATCACTTCTTCTGTAACAGCTGGGCACAGATCAGCATCGTAGACAGGAGAGAGTCTCGCCTGTGGCTGTCTGGCTTTGGACTCTCTCTGTGGAGAGATAAAGCCCAGGAAAGGAAGACCTGCAGTTCAAGGGCTGTTCTGTAGAGGTGACTCCTGGATCTTAAAAATATTATCTATCTGGCACCCAGTTTGGAAGAAATGAAGCAGCACCCACTTGCTAGTTGAAGAGCTGTTCAGGGTGTCATGGTGAGAGGGCTGTCGGCACCTGCTCTTTCTTTCTGGGGGGTAGGGGTGCTGGGAATCAAGCCCAGGGCCTTGGGCATGGCGGGCAAGTGCTGTAATACTGAGCCACACCCCCTGCCCAAAAAAAACGCTTTTAAATTTTCCATGCGGCTTCCATTTAAATAAGTTTTGTTTGTAGAGATTCTTTTGTTTGCTTGCCTGACTCAGATAAAGTCATGTCCTCCTCCTCCTCCTCCTCTCCCATTGTTCTTTCCTGTTATCACAGCTTCCTCCTGGCCTCAGAACATAGAAACAGATAGCACACAGACACACAGTGCCTTGGATGGATCTATCTATCAATCTGTTATCTATCCATCAATCCATTTGGGTTGTTTTAAAGACTTTTTTGGAAACATGGGATTTTTTTGTTTTCTTTTGTTTTTGAGGTGGGGTTTCTCTATGTTGCCAACTCCGGGGCTCAAGTGATTCTCACACCAGCCCCCTGGTAGTGGGATGCCAGGAGCATGCTACTGTGCCTGGCTAACCTGAGGCATTCTGCTGAGCAGGACAGTTGACAGGAGTCAGATGAGTATCACGAGCGTCAACTGTTGCAGGCCCTGTGTGCCTGTGAGCGGAGGTGATACCAGATCTGGTGCTTCTTCCCAGCCCAGCCCCTCCCGGGGTTGACTGCAATAGAGTCCTGCTCCAATCTGAGGGAAGGGATCACAGAAGGAAATAGACAAGTAGGGGAGAGGTACTGTCCCGCTGGGAAAAGCTGTAAAGCCAGATAGGTGCCGGAGAGAGCCAAGTTCAAAACAAAAGCACAAATGGGCCAACAGCGTGGTCGTGTCTAAATACCAACTCCATAATTTATGTCCACTCACACCTCCAGACGCCTGATGATTGAGTTCTAAACAACGCCACGAGAGGGCTCCTCCAGACCCCCTTGGGTCTGCGCAAAACGGGCCCCTGAAAACATGCCAGGACCACGGACTCTTGAGGGAAAACAACACATGGAGTTTTTAAAAAAGGCAACTTGGCATCTATTCATAGAGTGGGATCCGATTCAATTAAAGGGGGGAACCCCCAACTCCATCTGGTTCTCTCGCCTCAGCGCCGGGGAGTGAAGTTAGAGGGGGAAGACGAGGGAAGGATTATTTCTTGGCACGGCGTCTTCCTCCTCAGGGATCAATAGGACATTCACACTGGCCTCTTTCGGAGATGGTCAGCTGGTCAGCTGGACAGCTGGTTTGGGTCGCCCCTGCCATGGAGTGACCACCTCTCCACAGCTTCTTGGAAACATACTATTGTTCCCTTCTGTTTTTGTTTTCTTACAGCGACAGCGAATCCTAAAACGGAACGGTGCTCATGTTTTGCAAGAGAAGTAACCCCAGGGGAGCCTGCTGGGCCCGCCAATAGACGATGAAGAGGACGCGAGTTTAATTAATTTCAAATCAGTGTAGACAGAAGAACCTTTGCCGTTTCTTCCAGTGCCCACTCTCCGCCCGACGGCCTCGCATCCCTGGAAGCTGTGGAGGAGCCGAGGAGGCGCCTGGGTGGCCTCCAGCGAGCGGCTCAGGCCTGGGAGGGGTCGCAGGAGGCCTGGCCTCCAGCAGTGGGCGTCCCCTCCTCCAGGCCGCCCTGACCTCCTCACTCCGGCCTCTCTGTCCGACTCCTTCTCACCTTTCTGCTTCATTTCTCAGAGTTTAAATCAGGAAGCTGTTTAATCTATGGTTTCCTTCTGGGTCAACTTATTACCTAACCAGCTTTAGATAATTTCCTCTCATTATTCAAGATCTCTGGCGAGTCCTCTCCATGCAGCAGGACCTTTTCTCTGAGGAGAGGTAGGTAGAGGACGAGACACCAGGCACAGCGAGCATTTCAGTGTCTACACCATCCCCCGGGCTTTCAAAGCTTGCTTCCACCAGCCAAGAAAATCCAGCGAGAGAGTAAGTGTGGGTCCTGCGGAGATGGTGTTGGGCTCCTCGTAGACTTTGATGATTCAGCCACCGTCTGGTCGCCTTTCCAGTCACTGTTGGGGAATTCTCCGAGGAACTAGGACGCATCCTTCTCAGCTAACATGGCCTCTGCTTGTGCCCTTTCCCAGGCACCTTCGTGCTTCACCACACCGGCCTTGCCCATAGGACGTGGGCGGGGAGTGGGTGCAGGAGGGAGTCGTCTGTCACCCTTCTCATCTCAGGGATCTTTAAACTCTGTTGAAATCGGTTGGGGACAGGAAGTATCTGTGCAGTGCAGCTTCCTACTGAGCCAGGCCCAGCTCCTGTCCTCGCATCCCGGCAGCTCACTCTGGGTCTGCCCGAATGTGTTGCTATCCTTGTGTTCAAAAGATTGGCACAAAATGCACAAGGGCCGGTAAGACCGCTCCCCTCACACAAAAATCTGTTTCCCATTTATTCCTTAGTTTCCTATTCTCACGTTAAAAAGAACAGCCCGGCAAATGGAGAGTCTTCGGCTTCCTTAGGACCATTGACATTTTATTCCAGGAAAGAAATGAAAACTGAAATCTTTATTTTAATTGCATGGAAACCGAGGAGAGGGGACGTGAACCGGACTTCTGCTGCTGAAACGGGTGTGTGCTGGAAAGGCTGCCTTCATGTATAACAGACCCCCATCTGCCTTTTACAGGTACTTGCTTTCTGAAGTATTCAGAAAATTTTCAAGGCAGAGTTCCAGGCCCAATAGGGCTCTCTGTACAACGAATGCCCAGACTGTCTGGCTGTGTTTAACTCCTGCTGTCACGCTCTCCGGGGCTGCTTAGAGCTTTGACAAAAGGCAGTCATCCTGTCCTATAGCCACGACAGCTCTGTCTGCCATCTTTGCATTAGCACATCCTTACACGGCTTTTTATTTTCACTGCTATTTTGCATACTCATAAATCCACTTACAGTCCACAGAGACTCTCAGATATTTATGCCAAAATTGCTGCTTTCTGAATCATCCCATCTTATCTATTTTATACCCATGTTTGTTACTTTAAGTGTGTCTCTTTCTCAGAAGAGTCTCAGTTTGCCCTTCTGGGTATCTAAGATCTTTGCTGAACACTCAGGCCTTTACCCTTGGTATGACCTTATCACATGGTGAACTTTGGAAGTTCTCAGAAGTATGAGGGGTCCTGGAATCTCATTTGATAAAACAAGACTGTATGATATCATAAAATATTTCATTTAGTGTTTTTAAACAACTTCAAATTCCAGAAGAAACAAACCCCAGCAAGATGCCATTGAGTTTATGTCAGAAATGTACTGACTTCTATAAATGCACAGTGTACAAGTTACTTTTTAAAAAGACATTTATTCCAGCAAGATCCATGGAGTTAGGATAGGTCAAAACGGTCACTGAATAATCCTAGCACCAGACGTCTTTTTATTACTATCCAATCAGTGTGTCTCATGAATGCAAGACAACTCCAAGAACAGCTTTCAACCCAAACTTAATTTTATGTTTCAGATTATTAGCAAAGTGATGTTATTGTTTCCCCTAATTGGATAGCCAATCAAAGCAGAATCTGATTTTAAAATAGTTTGAAGAAATGTTTTGTTGCATTCTTTGTCACTTTAAGCTGACTAGGCTAATGACACTGCCCAGTCAAACACCTCAGGAAGCTTGTAATAAATGTATAAAAATGCCGATCTGTCACTCTTAGTCCAGTGCTGTGACTCCTCTCTCCAGGAAGGACCCAGCATCCACACCCAAGCACAAAGCCCGGATCAGCAGTGGCATCCATGGGGTCGCAGGTGCTTCCTCTGACTTTCATAGCTGTAGCCGTGGAAATAATGTCAACATAAATGAATGCTTTTGAAAACTACTTCAATTTTTTCATTTTGGTTGTTTAAGCCATTAATTTATACCATCTCTGGTAAGATACCTCACACTGAGTAAACAAAAGTATAGGTACTAGTTTCAGCACCTGTTAGAATTAGAGCAAATTCCGAACCTAGTGGGGTGATAAGACTGTTTCCCCTGGGAAAGTGCTGCTGAAATTCTCCTGGTGGGGAAAATATTGAAATTGTATACTGAATAACACATGTGACTTTTTCACATTTAGAAGACACGCAGGATGAGCTCTGGGGTTTCTTTTTGATAGCTACAAGCAATGTAGCTGGGGGAGGTGGCCACACACCTGTAATCCTAGCACTCTGGGAGGCTGAGGCAGGAGAAAAATACAAATAAAGAAACAATAGAGTCCAGAGCAGCATCATTTGCAGATGCATTTCTGCAACATAACAATGTCTGGAAGAGCCCCTGTATGTCAGGGAACCTTCAGTCCATCTAATTTGGTACTGATAATTGTATAGCTCAAATAACCAATTACCTGAATCTTTTTATTTGTTTTTTCAGCTGCACTTTGGCATTGCCTTGATATTGTCTTGCTTGGCATCAAAATTTGATTTTCCTCTTAGTCTTCTGGGAGGGAAGGTTGCTACTTGTATGTACTTGTTTTGTTGTTGTTTGTTTTTGTCCTACATTTTCTTTTTTTCTACTACCTTTTCTAAGTAACATCTCATGCTCATGAGATAGCAATTCATATAAATATGTTAAACAGGGCTTTTAAGGGATGCTGTATATGACCCAAACTCTTTCTGAAATTATATGGTGTTTTAAGAGGTTAAATCCCTACCCCAAAATGCTTCAGATAACATGAAGACTTTCACTTTAGCATCGAACAAGGTTAGAAGTATAATGGTGAATTGTCTCAAGACAACCATGGGTGGATGGGCTTTTTGTTTGTTAGCTCAGCTTCCTTTTGTGCAGGGGGCTTGGAGCCATTTCACATCACGTTTCCATCATTGGCCTTTGGTACTTCATCAATAAGTACTGTAGTTGGACTTTCACAAAAAATGTACGCTTCTGTTTGCACTTCTTTGGTCTGCATGTGAAGGGCTTAATAGTAAGTGAACAGTATGCACCTTCTACACATAGAAGCAACATTTTTTTCTGTGTAGAATGCAGTTAAGAGTAATCATTGTGTTACTCTGACTTAGGTGGAAATGTGAGAATTCTGTATGTTTAATAAATATCCAGCGAGTTAAAAATGATCTGGTAGATCAACAATAGTTTAATACATGTATATCTTGTATTTAAAGTTACTTGAAAATAATATAAGAAAGTGCTGTGTTTGATTCTTGTTTTACAAGCAATGCCATATTTTTGAGGAGGTCAGACAGAGCCATGTGTAAATTCTAGCTGGTACACCTCATAGAAGGACCTCAGTACTACTGATTAGAACTGATTTCTGAAACTATCAAAGCTTTAAGCCTGATTGAACACTGTAGGTTTTTCTAAATTTCCTATTTTGCATGCTGAGAATAACATATATAATAATATTTTCTTGGCCAGGTATGGTGGCTCACGCCTGTAATCCCAGCACTCAGGAGGCTGAGGCAGGAGGATCACTATGAGTTCGAGACCAGCCTGGACTACATAGTGAGTTCCAGGTCAGTCTCAACTACATAGTGAAACCCTATCTCAAAAAACCAAAAAAAAAAAAAATTCTTTATGACTTGCAGTTTTATTAAGGTCAGGTATGTATACATATAAATTATTCTCAGCTGCATTGTTTTTAAAATAAAAAGAAATAAGTACATGCATGTCCATATGTTAAACTGTTTACTCAGCAGTTGTAGATAGAAAAGCATTTATAAAGTTTTTTTTTTGTTTTTTGTTTTTTTTGTTTTTGTTTTTGTTTTTTTGAGACAGGGTCTCACTATGTAGTTGTAACTGACCTGGAATTCACTATGTAGCCCAGGCTGGCCTCAAATCACAGCAATCCTCCTGCCTCAGCCTCCCGAGTGCTGGGATTACAGGCATGTGCCACCATGCCCAGCTTATAAAGTTTTTGTTAAAGAAGTTCTTCTGTATTATTATTATTATTTTTTTTAAGTATGGCTATTTTTTTTTTTCGTACCAGGGATCGGCCTCAGGTCCTTGCATTTGCAAGGCAGGTGGCGGAACTACTGAGCTAAATCCCTAGCCCATATAAAGTTAATTAAGTACTATAAGAGGAAAAATATTTCCTTGTTAGTTTCTGTGTAGTTGATGGACATCAATATTTAGAATAAAAATTTGTAGTAAGATAACTGTTTACTCAAATCTTGTTTACTAAGAATAAATGGGTGAAATATACATCTTTGTAAAAGGAAAGTTTTTTTTAAAATTTCTGGGACTATAAAAAAGAAATATCACTCTCATAATTTCACTGTCTTGATTCACATACCTCTAAATAAATGCAAAATACTCCTAAAATTCTTATAGATCTGAACTTGCTTAATACACAGTTGGTTAACCAAAAAATCAAATGGATTTTCTGTATATCTATAAGGTACTATTATTGCTTTTATTTTTCCTTACAGAACATTTTTAAATGAAGCAATGAAATTTTTTAATTGTTTATGGAAATGTGATTTAAAAAATATTTTTGGTAAAAATGAAAAAAATCTTCAAGATAAAACTTCTTTTCCTCAATTGCTAACATTTCTTCACGCTTCTCATTCTAATCTCGTCTTCCACACCTTGATATTCAAACACGGGGAAGGCTGGATGGCAGATTCATAACATGTTGACAACATGAAGTGGTCTCTGAATAGGACACATTCTTTCGGGTTACAAAGACCAGTCGGTACACTGATGGGTGGTGGACAGGAAGGTTCTCCTAAAGATGTCGCTAAGGGAAGCCCCATCAATTACAGCCTCACTGTCCCTCCAGAATCCGGAGGGATTCATGAGCAGTGAGACAGATCAACCTGGTGATGGCTGGACTCAGAGAGCAGAGCCCCACAGTGAGGCAAATGCCCAAGAGAGAGGAATCTAGACTAGCGTTTATTGTGTAGATTGGCTGGGGATTAACTTTAGCCACTAAAATCAGAGACACGACATGAAACTGTCTTAAGTAGCCTGTTTCTCACACATGAAAGGTACCAAGGGTATCTCCATGCTCACCGGGTACCTGGGTTCATCCTGAACACCCCCACGTCCACCCCAAGGGTCCCCATGCGATGCACAATGGTGGCCCTAACTGCAGTGTCATATCACAAGGAGAGAGGGAGCCAGCATGAGGGCGGGCCTCCCAACGAGGTCAAGAGCTTTCCTTCCATCCCAACGAAACAGCTCTGCCCGCATCTCATCGGCCACCCTGTCTACAAGGCGGCAGGGAACAGAGGCCTCCGTGTTGCTGCCTGTCACACCCAACAATGGAGGTTCTGTTACACAAGGAGGTTGTGTTTCACAACATCAGGATCTGATGAGATAGCATTCCCAGCCATGGGATGTTAGGCTCTCGCAGATACCATCTCATTTAATCCAAACACTACATTATAAAGGAAGCTTAGAGAACTTATAAACTTACCGCACACCTCCCCAATTTCACAGTGCATACTTTTAATCACCATCTCCCAAGCAATGAGCAATGGGAAGGGTTTAAGAAAGTGTTGATGTTTTCAAGGAAGTCTGGACATGAGCACAGCCTGAAATAAGAAGTAACAGAGATGTAGGAAGCCAACAAGCCCAGGACCCCGGTCCCAGAAGAAATTGTAGATCACACGAAAAAAAAAATTAAAAACAAAAAATCCAGAAATTGAATAGCAGCAATGAGGAAAATAGACTGTTTCCAGACGGAGGTTCTGATAAGGGGTTGGGGTCAGGTGAAAAAGTAAAAGCCCCTCTTGCCAGAGCAGAAGGAGAGAGAGCCCCAGCTGTCCCCTTGAAGGGTGCAATGGGAGGCATGCCGCGATACTCTCAGGAGCAGGGGTTTCCGGCTCAGATTTGCAAGAATTTGAAGCAGCACAAAAGAGCACCTCTTTCATGGCCACAGTCATTCTGGCATTCAGAACCCAAATGATCACGCACACAGGACTTGTGAGCAGCAGGAAAACCCTGGGATTCAGTATGAGCTCCAGTGGCCCACCTCTGGAACGCATCTAGCATTCGTACTTCCCCGGGGAGGAAATCTGATTGGATTGGAGCTTCGGCCATCTGTCACTGCCTAATAAACCACCTAAGAGTGGAGTAGCTTAGAACAACAATAGTCGTTTGTTTTGCTGGTAAATCTGCCCTGTGGGTGGGGTTCAGCCCGAGCAGTTCAGCCTCTTGCACAGGGCCTGCTCTGGACAGCCCAGGTGGGGCTGGGTGGCATGATCAGAGCTCTACCTGCTCAGCTGGCTGTTCATGCTAGCTGGTGGGATTGATTGGAGCCTCGCCGGGTAGATGTGCTGGGGCCTTGGTTTCTCCCATAGGGGCATCTCCATGGACTTCAGGCCTTCTTCAGAGCATGGTGGCTGGGTTCCAAAAGCAAGTGCCCCGAGAGAACAACAGGGAGGCAGACAGCATCTTTATAATCTAGGCTCTGATGTTCTGTGGCATCACTTCTACCATACTTTGTTATAAAGCCCTAACCAGGTTCAAAGGGGGTGGCGAAAACCTCACCAGCCGGGAGTCATGCGTCAGAGTCTCACTGTGAGAAGAGCAAGTGGGATGCAGGATGTGTTACTGGTACTTTGGGCGAAATATGATCTGCCAAAATTGATGAGCTTCTGTGCCATGTGAAGGAAACATTAGGTAACTGCAGGGATATTTGACCTCTTCTGAGGTCAGCACATCTGTGGCTGTCTTTGGCTTGGACATAAATCCCTGGTCCAATAATCCATAGTAAGTGGTAGAACTAGTTTTACCAAGTGCACCAGGCATGAACCATGGCATGGAACAAGTTATAGATGAACCAAAGGTGTCGGATTCTGTGACCACTGTCAGCAGGTAAGGTTGAAGTAGAAGCAAATTTGCTTGTGAACCCCCTGAGGGGCAGAATCAAGCCCTGGTCATCTCTGTATCTTGAAAAAAAGTGAGCTGCTACCGACCGTAGGGGAGCAAAGACTGGATTTCACGAGGAGAACAGGGATCTTCAGAAAGGTGGGAGCAGGTTCGGCGGCGACAGTCAGAAACCACACAGCACTGAGTAGTGAAGGTAGTAGCTGCTGCAATTTTATTTCTAACTCTAGATGTATATATACTAGTTTCAAGGGCACACTTCAAGAGTGATTCCAGTCACAGGCAGGCATGAGAAAGATAGACAATTGTACTGTAAAAGCTAAGACCACAAGGTCAAGGTAAGACCACACCTATATACAATCACAAAAGCTAAGACCACTAAGTCAAGGTAAGACACACCTATACGCAGTCAGAAGGGGAAGTTTGTAAAACAAAGGACTGGCTTCAGCATGTCACCTTCAGGATCACCTTCAGGACTTCACAGTCCGGGGCTCAGGGTCAGCACTTTGGCCGCCCGTCCTCTTGTGCCCCAACACCTCCCCATCTCTAGGAACATCTAATTGTTCCTAACCTTTCCTGGGCCCAGAATACAATTCTACAGATAATGAACAAATAGTAATAAAGACAAAATAGAACAGAATTACAAATGAACCCAATGTCCCCAAACTGCAGGCAGAGAGGCCAGCTATTCTCTTCACGGCTGACTTCGCATGCGGTGTGTGCCAAGGACTTCCAGGAGGCTTAACCCCGTGGGGACGATATCTCGGGTCTGGTTTCTGCCAGGTGACCGGCATTGTCACGCAGACTCCACTGGAGTGGTCGTGGCAGTGAGCCACTATTGGGTGCTCAATAATTATGGGAAATTCAATCACTCCGTGAGCTAAGAGTCCCTGTCTCACTCGGAAGTACCTAATCAGTCTTTTCATCGATGATTGCAGGCTCTAACTATCATCTGCCATCACCATTTTCTCCCAAGTTTCCTGCTTTAACTGAATATTCCTCATCTTCCATCTATGCATCCTGGTACCATTTTCAACCTTTATTGTATAGTATCCAGCTGTCTACATATTTTATTTTTAACCACCTCAAATCCAATATAAAGAGGCAGAGAACCATCAAAATTTAACTAACAAGTGGAGGAGGTGAAAATAACTTGGTCCCGATTTAGAATGTGAAGGAATATTAGGGAAGGAGCCCAGCAGATCATTAAAACCCTCAGAGCAGCTCAACCTCTGCTCTGGCCTCTCTTCTTTGCCGTCTGAATTGTCCACAAAGAAAAACAAGTGAATTAAAAAAAAAGAAAGAAAGAAAGAAAGAAAGAAAGAAAGAAAGAAAGAAAGAAAGAAAGAAAGAAAGAAAGAAAGAGATTCAATTTAGGTGATGACATAAGCACAAGATAAGGGCTGTTTCTATTCTGGGCAGGAGAGATTAACAAAATAAAGGTGCCGTAAATCATTTCTGGAGATGTTTCCCAGCCATCACTGAACATAGATGAGACCAACCAAGCTGGCTGGTGGGTGAGACAGGAAACTATTAGGCCCCTTCTTGTCTTGCTCCATGAAATGTGGACAGAAATACCTTCAGCTTATTAC